GGCGCTGTTGCAACGCCGGAAAAATACAGAGACCAGGGATTTGGCGCGAGACCCGCTCCAAAATGGCGCTACCAGCGTGAACTAGTGCAAAAAGTGACGCTAGACCCGCGCGAGAATCTGAACCAGTGCAAAAAGTGGCGCTAGACCCGCGCTAGAATGGTGCTACCCGCGCGGACTTCAGCGTGGAGGCAATTTCGAACTTAAAAGGACGCTGTGAAGGCTGTTTTGAGAGACTTTTTGACGACGGAGCTGAACAAGGATTCGTGAAGGAAGAGAAGAGCAGAGGATTGTTCTTAGTTTCTCATTGTAATTACATTCTTTCATCTTCATTTTTTATAATTTTATGTCAGTTATGTCTATGGCTGGCTAATTTCTTTTATTGTAGTTAGGGTCACAAACCCTATGTGAACACCCTTTTTACGCTGGATTGATTATTTTCGCTCGTTTATTTTAATATATTTTATTTTTACCCTGTGCGTATTGATATTATTTCTGTTACACTTGATCAACCTAATAGGAGATGATAATTTGGGAATTAGGGCTCGCAATAGGAATATTGGGGTTTTTGATTCTGAAAGGGGGTAATGTAACAATTCATGCATGCTCTAGGGATAGACTTGTGTGAGTTGTAGTCGTTTAATTTATTGTGATTAATGCTTAATTTCATGCGGGGTTGCTAAGGGATTAGGATTCCAAATGAATTAAAGGGTTAGATTGCCAAGGGATTGGGATTTAACTAATTATTTGAGATGATAATTTGTCCGAGTTATTAAATTGAATGAACGTTGTCAATTAATCCAAAGTTTAAAGTGGGGATCATATAGTGCGTATACCTTAGCTGCAATGCTTTTAAATATTCTCTCAAAACTCCAGTTTTATTTTTTACCATTGCTTATTAAATTGAAAATTTTATATTTTAAATTTCCGTCTTTATTTTACCATCAATTCACTATTTTCCAAAAACAACAGAGTTTTCCAACTTAAGGGGACTGGTTATTGTGGTACTTGGTTTACAATCCCTGTGGAGACGATACTTTACTTACTCATTATATTACTTGTGTGATCGGTATACTTGCCAGTGAGCATCAAGTTTTTGGCGCCGTTGCCTGGGATTGTTAATTCCAATATTACAAATAACCGTCGATCTTTGAGATTGGATTTTTATTTTTATTTTATTTTGTTCTATCTTGTTTTGTGTTGGCAGGTGCTACTAACTAATTTTTCTGAGTTTATGCGAGGTAGACTTGCTCCTACAGACTTTGTGATTGATCCTGAAATTGCAAGAACTGAGAGGAGACTGAGGAAAGTTGCCAAGCAGATAAATTGGGAAGAATTCAAGGACGTACCTGTACAACCAATACAAGAGATGGCGGGTAACAACAATGCAAATAACCCACCTCCAAGATTGTTGGACACCATTCTGACTCCGGTGTTCAATAGGCCAAACTCAAGTATACTCAGGTCGACAGTGGAGGCAAATTTTTTTCAGCTGAAGCCATTTTTGATTACTTTGGTGGAGAGGGCTCAATTTTCTGGTGCTAAGGAAGAAGACCCCCATGAGTTCATAGATCGATTTCTGATGATCTGTGACACTACTAAGCACAATGGAGTGTCTGCCGATGCTATCAGGCTTCGACTATTCCCTTTTGCTGTTAAGGGAAGGGCTCTCAGATGGATAGAGAGGCAACCAGCTAATAGTATCATGACATGGGAAGACTTGTCAACAAAGTTCTTTGCCGAGTTCTTTTCTATGGAGAAGTACAACCAGCTGGTGAATGAGATCACAAACTTCCGCCAGCTTGAAGGAAAATCGTTGTGTGCAACTTGGAAAATATTCCAGGAACTTATCCGGAAGTGTCCGCACTATGAGGGAGATGATGACAGAAAGGTGGCAATTTTCTTTAATGGCATCTCTCCTGAAACAAGGTTGGTAATTAATAGTGCAGCTGGAGGTTTTATTCGGCAGAGTACATCTGAGCAAGCTCTGGACTTGATAAAGAAACTAGCGAGAAATGAGCATGAGAGCTTCCTAGTTCAAGCAAGAAAATGAGTGATAAAGTTGGAGAGCAATGATGCTATGCTTGCTGAACAAAAGCTGTTGTCCAAGAAGCTTGATAGTTTGAATGAAAAGTTTGAGAAACTGCAAGTGTCCAAGGTTCAATCAACTTCTGTGGTGTGGGAATACTGTAGAGAGGCTCACGAGTCTAATGAGTGCCCTACTCTAATGGGTGATAATCCACAGCAGTTGCAAGTAAATGGGGTTTGGTATGAACAGAAGCCCCAACAAAATTTTTCAAGAAATCAAAATTTTCCTTCTGGAAGTAATTTTCAGAGGAGAGGTCAAGGAGGTGGTCTTGACTATAGTTCCAACAAATTTCTGCAACCTCCTCCTATTCCACAAAAGGAACCTTCTGATTTGGAAAAGTTAATTGGACAAATGGCTCAACATTCTAATGCTTTCATGGAGGAGACTAGAGCCAATACAAAAAACACAAATGCTTTCATGGAAGAGACTAGGGCCAATACCAAAAACATGAATGCTTCTATCAGAAATTTGGAGAATCAGATTGGCCAACTGGCTAAGCAAATTGCTGATAGAACTCCAGGTACCTTCCCTAGTAACACAGTTACTAATTCGAGGGAAGATTGTATAGTCATCACAACCAGAAGTGGTAAAGTACTGCCATCCCCGGAGGTTGCAGAGAAGCTGGATCCTGCAGGAAAACCTGAAAAAGAAATTAAGAAACCTGCTGAAGTGGTGAAGCCAACTGAAAAAGAAAAAGCAAAAGAGAAATTTGAGTTGAGTCCTGAATATGTGAGAGTCATGGCACCTTATCCGGAAAGATTCAAGAAAGATGCCAAGAAACAATATTATGAAAGGTTCCTGGGTATATTCAGAAAGCTTCACATTAATATCCCTTTTGCTGAAGCCTTGTCTGGCATGCCAAATTATGCCAGTTCATGAAGGACTTGTTATAAAGAAAACATAAGCTGCAGGAATGCCAGACAGTAACACTTACTGAGGAGTGTAGTGCTACCAGCGCGAACTAGTGCAAAAAGTGGCGCTAGGCCCGCGCCGGAATGGCGCTACCCGCGCGAGAATCTGAACCAGTGCAAAAAGTGGCGCTAGACCCGCGCCAAAATGGCGCTACCCGCACGGACTTCAGCGTGGAGGCAATTTTGAACTTAAAAGGACGCTGTGAAGGCTGTTTTAAGAGACTTTTTGACAACGGAGCTGAACAAGGATTCGTGAAGGAAGAGAAGAGCAGAGGATTGTTCTTAGTTTCTCATTGTAATTACATTCTTTCATCTTCATTTTTTATAATTTTATGTCAGCTATGTCTATGGCTGGCTAATTTCTTTTATTGTAGTTAGGGTCACAAACCCTATGTGAACCCTTTTTACGCTGGATTGATTATTTTTGCTCGTTTATTTTAATATATTTTATTTTTACCCTGTGCGTATTGATATTATTTCTGTTAGACTTGATCAACCTAATAGGAGATAATAATTTGGGAATTAGGGCTCGCAATAGGAATATTGGGGTTTTTTGATTCTGAAAGGGGGTAAGTAACAATTTATACATGCTCTAGGGATAGACTTGTGTGAGTTGTAGTCGTTTGATTTATCGTGATTAATGCTTAATTTCATGCGGGGTTGCTAAGGGATTAGGATTCCAATTGAAATAAAGGGTTAGATTGCCAAGGGATTGGGATTTAACTAATTATTTGAGATGATAATTTGTCTGAGTTATTAAATTGAATGAACGTTGTCAATTAATCCAAAGTTTAAAGTGGGGATCATATAGTGTGTGTACCTTAGCTGCAATGCTTTTTATTATTCTCTCAAAACTCCAGTTTTATTTTTTACCATTGCTTATTAAATTGAAAATTTTATATTTTAAATTTCTGTCTTTATTTTACCATCAATTCACTATTTTCCAAAAACAACTGAGTTTTCCAACTTAAGGGGACTGGTTATTGTGGTACTTGGTTTACAATCCCTGTGGAGATGATACTCTACTTACTCATTATATTACTTGTGCGATCGGTATACTTGCCGGTGAGCATCAAGCCCTCAGTTTGGTAGCTTGCGGAGTCAGGGTGCCAAGATGTATGGCAGCTTAGGTCGATTACTCGCAGTGTGCAGTGTTCCAAGTAGGATGCAATTTAACCAATCAGTAGTATATCGGCCTTTATATCTTGTTTGTTTGTTGTCATCAAGTATGAATTGTCTAGTTGGTGATGCTTGAGTGCTTCAAGAGAATCTTTTATTCTGGCTTGCAATTGTGTTGAACTTTTGGTGGTCTTCAAAGATGTGCCTGTAATCTTAACTCTCCGATCATGGTTGGCCGCCTTGTTATTAAGAAAAGCCTTCAAATGTTGTTGAAGCGACAATAATTTGATTGTAAGAATAAATTAGCGGACTCATATTGAATCAAGTAGTATGGAGATGATATTGTATTCCAAGAGAGAGAGGTGGAGATCTTTGTGATTAATATATACATCCCCTTCTTCAGAAATGAACATTGTTTGTGGCATAAATATATGATAAATAATGCCCCGTGACTTGGGTCTTTGATGACCGGTGCTCAGATATTTGCTCTATGATCATGACCTACAATAGCTAAAATGTAATAACATTTAAATAAAAATATGCCTGGGTGGAAGAGCATCAACCAGGACTTTGTTATGCCGAGGGGTGGTGCATCCTAGACTTTATTTGCCTGGATGGAAAAACATCATCCAGGACTTTGTTGTATGACATTTTTGTCTTGGGCTACCGGTCTTCATTGTATACCGGGGGTGAGAACCATACCGGCCTTTATTGATTGTTTAAGCAACTCATATGAAATTTATAATGATGCGGTTGGAGAGAAACATATATATACTAGTGAAGATATGTTATTGCTAGGTCTTGAAAATAAAACTTGACCGTGGGAGTCTTGCTTAACACTTTGCTGTGTAAACTATGGCTTAACAACATTGAATATGCTGTGAATGTCGGTTGGAAGGGCGGATGGGCAGCGCAGAGGGATGGTCTTCCTATTGGGAGGACAGAAGGGCAGCGCGGAGGCTGGTCTTCCTGTTGGGCTGGCAGAAGGGCAGCGCGAACGAAGGGCTGGTCTTCCTGTTGGAGGGCGGAAGGGTAGCGCAGAGGGCTGGTCTTCCTATTAGGCGGGCGGAAGGACAGGTCTTCCTGTTGTGAGGGCAGAAGGGCAGCGTGGAGGGCTGGTCTTCTTGTTGGGAGGACGGAAGAGCAGCGCAAAAGGCTAGTAGCCTGGCAATGAATTTGTTGTTCGCTGATGAGTCTCCAATTTACTATGTATTAAGGGTCAATATGAGCATGAAATTGATTTAAAAGTAATTAAAAGTTATGAGAATTATAATTAAATTGTTATTTTATTCTCAATAATATTCTCATAAGATTTTTTATATTTTGCAATAAATTTTAGCTCAATAAAGAGATAAATTGGAGAGATCAAATAGAGTTGCTTTGGATTTCTGAATCATTGAAGATCTTATCAAATCTTTCTTTAAATATATTTAAGGAAAGTTTTCCATTAAATAAAAAAACAGAGGAAGATTTGAAGGATTTGATCAAAGATATGATTAGAGATTATAATGATGATTTCATTGAAGATATTATGGAAAATCAAAGATATGGTTTCATCTCTATAAAAATGCATCTCTTGGAAACATAGAGGAGAATTTGACGGAGGCAACAATATTCAGAGGAGGAGACTCACGCTGGAGATTATGATTCCGAAGAACTTGAAGATTGAAGACCATTGATCTTTCTTCTTCATCTTTTTCTTTTCTTTCTTTGTTATGAATTCTTTTTACTATTTTAATTTGTTAAAGCCAGATATGTCTTGCTAGTTTCTTTTTGTAGTTGGGAATCCTTTATAGTTTTTATAATTAATTAATTAATTTAGTTTTATTCTACCTGTATTAATTCTTCCATACTCTTTTTAGAATTGATCGCTCTACCAGCGGGGGACCCCTGTGAAATTTTAGTACTTTTTCTTCAAAAATTCATATCTTGAGCTACGGTGCTTCGATTTGAGCGTGGTTTGAACCCACGCGTAGCTAACGAAAAAATATATAAGATATTGAAAGATGAGGATCATAAAGGTGGTATAAAAATTTCTTAAATAAATAAAAGTAGAGATGTTTAGTGTTAAATAATAATAAAAAATGAGTTTTTAAGCCTTGTTGGTCTAAGGGGACTACTTGGCACACTATAGCGGTAACATATGGTTTAAATAAAATTACATTAGGTGTTCCACACATAGTTTAAGTTATGATTACAGCTATTGGAATTATTTTAATTACGGATTTGATTTTAAACATAAATGTTTATAAATAAAAAGGAAAAAGTTAATCCGTACTTTAATTTAATTGTTGTGATTGTAACTGCGCCTAATGTCATACGTAATGTTAACAAACCGGTTCTAGAACGGAGTGTTACAGGCACACATGGCAAGCCATAGAGGCTCACCATTGAGACATTCCCTATCCCTGAACACTGACAATGGGCAGCATGCCTTATCTTAGAACAAGACATAGCTTGATGAGACAGCTCATGGGAGTGACCAGTTGGCTCTCTCATGTGAACATCAATATGCAGCAGTAATGGTGCTGAAGAACTTGTCTTATCCATTGCTATAGGGAGCCATATATAGATGAAGTGCACTAGCAGTTGGAGGGATTGTGCACATACTGGATGATTTTTTCCAATGACTTAATAGTGTCATGGAATGCATATGGATGGTTATATGTAGTGGACGGAAGTTAAGAGAGAGTGGGGAGTGAAGTGTTTCATGTAGTGAAGATAGAAGTGAGGACCGTTTAACTGATCCATAACAAAATTATACATCATTTTGATGTATTAAGGGATTTGCTATATAAATTTATACTATACGATGGTCACACCAAACAACTAAAAATATCATAATATATAGTATAAACTTATACTATCAGTCCTTATACGTCACACCAAATGAGCACTTAATTCCGAGTTAATTGTCAATTTGCATGAGACATTTTGTAGAAGGTTAATGAGCCAAGCTACTGACTTAGTAGAGTTTACTTTCTATTCATAGAATATATATTCCAATATTTATTTAACTATAAAGTTGATGATACTACTATAAGGGGCATTTGATTTAAATTCTAAAAAGTATTTTCATAAATAACATGCACAAATTCCCCATAATATTATTTATTGAGAATGTTGATTGTCATTTTTGATTGACTTATTGACCAAAATATTCTTCGGATTGACTGTGATCATTGACGGTGGCAAGAGTGACTTAATTTTGATGATTGATAATCGGCAGAGGTGGCCAAAGTTAGCCACCATTACTATTGACAGTCGTAGAAGGTTGCTGGATTTTGATGATCCGTAACTATGGTCGAAATCGCTTGGGTTCCACATTTACCAGCTAATGTCAATCATCAACATTAGCAAAACGCACCTTGATTCGGTGACAATTGAGGATAAGTATTTTGAATATTTTACATAGCAAAATATTTCTATATCATGAGAATATAACAAATACACTTGCATCCACTTCCCCCATTGGATGCAAGTGTGAAAATTATTTTAAACATCAATCTTGGACAAGATAATTATAATTATAATTATATATATATATATATATATATATATATATATATATATATATATATATATATACTTAAAAAAATCTTATATAAATTAGGAGGAGTTAACGTTCTCATATGAAATTCTCAAAAAGAAAAACCAATATGTATATCAATCGTGGTCAGAACTCAGAAGTAGCATTATTTCACACAACTTCGATTTACGAAAAGTTATAAACGATGTCATAGATTTATTTTTTTAACATTAATATCTCTTGGAGCAATGAAGTAAGTAACACAATTTTAAGCAGAAACGAAAATATATGGTCGATAAAGTTTCACACGTCACTTTACAATCTCGAATGCTTAATTCGGCCAAAATACATATAAATTTATGTAAAGATAAGTAATAAGTAGTCTGCCAAAAAAAAAATAAGTAATAAATATAAAATTAGATACTTAATTTTAAGTATATAGTGATATAGTGGTTAATATCATATTCTCTTTCCCTCGTGAATCTGATTGCGGTTATATAGGGTGTGCATGACAATCATTCTGTTCCCTGGCACTGTTTCTGTAAAGAAACAATTCTTTTCTATTTCTGTGCCTTGGAACAGTTTCTGAGAAAAAAAAAAATATGTTTGATAACATGTTCTATCTTTATTCCAAGAATGAGAATTGCGTTTGATAACACAACAAGTAATATAATAAAAAATAATTTCTATTAAACATAAAAAAATTCCGGATCATCACTTTCCTTTTTATATGGTGATGGTGGCGGCGGAAGAGGTGGCGTGGTGGTGGTAATGGTGGTGGTGGTAATGGTGTTGATGGTGGTTGCATAGTCGTGGTGGCCGCGGCGGTGATAGTGGTGGCAATGGTGCTAGTGGTGACGACAATGGCTACGACGATGGTGATAGTGGCAGCGGTGGTGGTGATGGTGAAGGTGGTGGTAGTGGTGGTGGCATGGTGGTGGTGGTGGTGACGGCAGTGGCTGCGGCAGCGGTGGTGGTCATGGTGGCATAGCGGTGGTGGCGACATTGGTGATGGTGGTGACGGTAGTGGCTGCGGCAGCGGTGGTGATAATGGTGGCATAGTGGTGGTGGCGGTGGCGGTGGTGATGGTGGTGGTGGTAACGGCAGTGGCTGCGACGATGGTGGTGGTGGCATGTTAGTGGTGGGGATGGCAGTGGCTGCAGCGGTAGTGGCGATGGCGATGGTGTGGTGATGGTGGTGACGGCAGTGGATGCGACATTGATGGCGGTGGTTGGTGGTGGCGGCGGCGGCGGTGACAATAGTGGCTATGGCGATGATAATGGTGGTTGGTGACGGTGGTGGTGGTGGTAGTGGTAGCGATGGTGGTGGCGGTGGCGGCAGTGGCTGCAATGATGGTGATGGTTGGTGATGGTGGTGGTGACGATGATAATAGTGGTGGTGGTGGCGGTGGTAGTGATGGTGGTGGTAATGGTGGTAGATATGGATGGAGGCGGTGGTGATGGTGGGAGTGGCATCATGGTGGTGGTGGTGATGATGGTAGAGATGAAGAGTGATTGAAAGAGACAAGTGTTTCTCATTTTGTGCCCGGGAATAAAAAAGCAGAAATTTTTTGATTCTTTTTTCTGTTACCCAGCACAAAAATTAAATCGGTTCGGTAACAAAAAAAATAAACCGATTTTACCAAACGAGTTTCCTATCCATTTTTGTTCCCGGGAACAGAAATTAAAAAAGAACTGATTCCGGGAAGGTTGTCATGCGCACCCATATTTTCCCAGGATTTTCAAGAATCATTTCAACAAAAAAAAAACCAGTTTAGAATTGATTGAACCAGTTTAAGATTAATTCACCAATTCTTAACGAGATTGAATGCATAGCCGATAAATTGATTCGATCAGACCAATTGATAATTTGATTCCCAATTCAACCAATCGAATCTGCCGGTCTAGTCTGATTTTTATAACATTACTATTCAAATTAATAAAATAATTTGCAGTTGTGTTTGTGTATGATAATAAAAATTAAAATCTGTTATATTTAATTTTATTAATTAAAACCGACGCCACCATTGCCTAAAAAATGAAATTAATCTGAACCTTTGAGGCTTGTGAAAAAACAGAACAACAAAAATTTTATTTTAATTTTGCGCTGAGGGAAGGGACAGAGAGAGAGAGAGAGAGAGAGAGAACCCTAACGTATTTGTGATTTGACATGAACAAGAGAGATTCTGATAGAGTGTAGCTTCATAAAATTTGTTACTGTCAGAAATTAAGCGCCAAACCTGATACACATTTTACGATGAAGAAGACCAAACGTTCTTCCAAGAAGTCTCTACCTGCCGAAAATGGAACCACCAAACCTCCCTCTCCTCCTTCGCAACCGTAATCTCTCTCTCTCTCTCTCTCTCTCTCTCTCTCTTTTCATGCGTATTGCGAAATACCGCTACACCATGCACACGTACGTCTCTAGTTGGAGAAATCAAAAAATATATATAATTTTTGAATTTTTATTTTAATTATTGAATTGAAGCTTTTCATGGATAGCTTGATTTTATTTTTTGATTTGGGTTTAATTTAATCGTGGTTATTCGGTCATGAAGCGATGATGTGGGAGAAAGGACGGTGAAGAAGCTTCGGTTATCGAAGGCTCTCACGATCCCTGATGGGACAACGGTTTCTGAAGCATGCAGACGAATGGCATCTCGCCGCATTAACGCTGTTTTGTTAACTGATTCCAGTGCTTTGCTTTCTGGAATCCTCACTGACAAGGTTTTGCACTCTCTACAACAAAGTTTTTTATGTGTACATGTGTCTTTTTTTCTGTACGGAATGTTTCATATTATATATATATATATATATGATTCAAGGTTGTGTGTATGTATATATATGTTGGGGTCAGGATGTTGCTACTAGAGTTGTGGCGGAGGGGTTACAGCCGGATCAGACAACGGTGTCGAAAGTAATGACAAGGAATCCTGTCTTTGTGACATCAGATACACTTGCCATTGAAGCTCTTCAGAAGATGGTTCAGGGTTAGCTTCATTATTGTTTCCTCTTAATTTGTTTTTATTATTGGACTTTGAAAACTAGAAGGGTCATGAGTTGTGATAATGATCACATACTATTGGATAGGATGAATTTTGTTATTAGTATATGCCGGGGTCAGTCATGGCCCTGACTTTAGCAGTAAAATCTATTTGTTACTGTTGTCTTGGTAAAAAAAAAAGTTGTTTTGATATTTTGAGATTAGTGTTTGTTGTTTTAAAATACATATAATTATATTATTTTAGTCAAAATTATTGTATTTTACGTGTGCCTGTCACATGCCGTACATATCACTGCATGTACGACTTGAACACATACATCTCATGCACGACTTGCAGCTGAGAATGTTTCCTGCAATCAGGGCCTCCGTATGTTTCTTGTGTGTTATAAGATTGTTTGTTTTTACTTATATTTATAAGAAATACTACTCTCATTTCACATTTCACATGAAGTAGTTATTTCATATTCTCTCACTTTAAACATCTTTCCCTTTTTTTTTCTCCTTCTAATAATGCGTCCCTGTTAGTTTCTCTTTATAACATGAGATAATTATTCTCGTATATAAAATGAGAGTAATATTTTTATTTGCTCTTTACTATTTCTGCTTCTTCAACTAACTAATTGATCATGTCATAGTTGAGTAAGTGATTTTATTAGATTCTCTTTATGTTTACACTTTACATCTTGTTTGACAGAGACATAGTCTGGAAAGTAATTCATTAAGGGAGAGATATAATTTTACTTTTTTAACTGATAGGTAAATTTAGGCACCTCCCTGTTGTGGAAAATGGTGAAGTCATTGCCATGCTGGATATCACCAAATGTCTTTACGATGCCATATCTGGGATGGAGAAGGCTAGTCAGCAAGGGAGTGCCATTGCTGATGCTGCTGACGGGGTGGAACATCAGCCCGGTAGTAATACATCTGGTGGGTTAACAGTTACATTTATATATACATACATTTTATGGTACTGCTTGTACATGAACTTATGAATTGCTTCTACTTGTATGTGTTATGTCTGTTCAATTTTATAATTGCCATGGTTGAATTCACAAGTTGTATTTTTTGAAAAAAAAGTATGGAGTCAATCTTTTTTGGCTCACTCATAAGCTGACTTAACTTTTTTACAAACAAAATTTAAAGCATTTTTATCTTTGGAGTAGAAAATAGTACACAAAGGAACTGGCAGTACAAAAAAAATGTTTGGGAGAATTATCAAATGAGTGCTTTGGCTCGCTGTTTTGTTTCATTTTTCTTTTAATGAGGTTGTACTATTCTCCTTCGTCCCTCCCATTTACTCCTTTTTTCTCCAATAAAATATATTTTATATTAAAACACTGCTCAAAGGGTGGTCAGTGTGAATCATCTATGACTTAATTGATCACTTGTGTACTTAATTGTTACTAAACTGAAAATATAATATATTTTTCACCCCAAAAAAATTGAATATCTTTGCCAGAAATTCCTCTATTGTAATTAAAAAAATTTCAAAGTAATATTATGGACCAAGTCTAGGTGTGTAATCTTTGTATATTTATACTTCAATGACATACTTTAGAGGTTAATTTGTAAGGTTTTCTCCGTGAAGTTTAAGCTAGATAGGTAAATGGAGTACCAGATGCTGTCAACATAAATGCATTAAAACTTTGCAAGTTCTGCTTCCTAAAATTTTTGGTTTCTCGTAATATTGACTTTATCAATGTTTGAAAGTACTTAAAATTGCCATACTTTCCCTTCATATTGTAATGAGGCTGATTTTCTGTTTCTATTGCCACTGTCTTTGTCAGCACCAAATGGTTTCATTGAAACATTGAGGGAACACATTTTAAGGCCTTCCTTGTCAACTATAGTCGGGGAAAATACTAGGTAATTTTTACATCGTATTTTCTTGTGTTATTATTTATTGCCAAGGGATTCTTTTATAATCAGGTGTAATAGTTTTACGACATTCTGTAGCTTTATGTGTTTCTAGGGTTGCTATTACATCAGCATCAGATAATGTGTATGTAGCTGGAAAAAAGATGCGGGATTTGCGTGTCAATTCAGCTGTGATTGTGATGGGAACCAAGATTCAGGGGATTCTTACGTAAGATCCTTTTCTGAGGCTTTCTTCTCTTCCTTTAGAAATCTATGATGTGGATTGTGGAATATCATCCATGACTGCATGTTTTTTAGATAAGAAATCTCCTTGAGTGATAAATCTGAAATGAACTTTGGACAATTTTTATCTTTTGCATAATATATTGTTCTGTAAATCTCTTATGCAGTTCAAAAGACATCCTTATGCGAGTCGTGGCTCAAAATCTTTCCCCAGAGTTGACCTTAGTGGAAAAGGTTGTCATCCTTTTATTTTCTGAAGTTACTTCACTGGAAAATGGTTTATCCTGACATGCCATTCTTCTGGCTGGTGCTTATATTTGCTAGGTATTCAGAACTGATTTGGTTTTCTATTTTATTCTTCCTTTTATTACTTATTTTTTTGTTAGGTAATGACTCCAAACCCAGAATGTGCATCACTAGAGACAACAATTCTTGATGCACTGCATATGATGCACGATGGGAAGTTCTTACATCTTCCTGTGGTGGACAGAGGTGAATTTCGTTTTTCTCAATTGCGTATGTAATTTCTAACATTGTTGTACTGAATATTAATTTGTTCTGCAGATGGAAATGTTGCTGCGTGTGTGGACGTTTTGCAGATAACTCATGCTGCAATTTCTCTGGTAAATTTCATGTTTGATATATACATAGAAAATATAGTGTAGAGTAAGCATTTAACTTTCATTTTTCAAGAATTTTTATAAAATCTTCCAATGGCATTTTCCCGATATCTTGCATCTTTCCCTCGCTGCTTGGGTTATTTTGAAATATATCTTAGATTCTGACTCAGGTTATATTCTTTTTTTTTATTATAATTCATAAATGGTAAATGTCTATGTCTACATCCATCATCCAACTATATTGTCTTGGTGCTCTTTTAATTTGGTCAAAGGACCCAAAGTGTTGTAAAGTATTTCTGCCTTTTAGACTTAATGATATTAATGTATTGATAGTTTCCGTCTATAATTGAAGGATTGCCGCATATATTTGATCATCATTTAGTTATTTCCCAATTTATCAAAACTTTGTGGTAGTTTTGTAGATCAAATTAACCAGCTGTTGGCACTCTTCATTCCCCTTTCCTACTTCATCATGATAATGCTTTTTATAACTGTTGGGCGTACACTCACCCTACCTAACAACGAAGTATAACACTGTGCATTAAGAATTGTATACAATTTTGTATTAACATTTGGTACTATTATACAGATGCTAGTGTCTGGTTACTAAGTTATGTACTTTGTAGGTTGAAAGTAGCTCTGGAGCTGTTAATGATGTGGCAAACACAATTATGCAAAAATTTTGGGACTCGGCTTTTTCTCCAGAGCTGCCTGAAGATTATGATAATAATAGGTATTTTGGTGATATCTATGTTGTTTCTATATATGTTTTGTTTCGTTCTGTAAATAAGCATATATGTTTGATTGCAGTGAAGCCTCTGGGCTACTGACTTTAGACGGGGCAGATACCACAAAGTCATATCAATCCGTAGGTTATGGAAATTCATTTGCTTTTAAATTTGAGGATCCAAATGGTCATGTGCATCGATTCAACAGTGGTGAGTGATATCTTGGAGAAAGCTTTGCAAAAACTTGAAATATAAATACTTTTTTAATGGACACAAACATTCTGTTTCATAAACCTGTGTCCTACCCTGTTTTATTCTTGTAAGAACTTACAATTATTTGCCTCTGCCTTTGTTGTAGGCGCTGAACATCTAGATGAGCTTGTATCTTCTGTCATGCAAATAATTGGTCATGTTAATAATGGAGAACGCCCTCTAATTATGGTGTGTTTTTATTCTAGTTTTGTTTTTGTCTTTACTGTATGTTTTTTATTTTGATATCGGCTTTTTCTTCCATTCTAGTACGAGGACGATGAAGGTGATAAAATTATTCTTTCAACTGATAACGATGTTGCTGCTGCTGTCAGCTATGCTAGATCTGCAGGACTGAAGGTGAAGATGTCTACTTTTACTAGCCTTTTCATTTGGTGACGTTGGCTTTCATGGGTTTGTTCTTATGGATTTGATGCATGCATTGAAGCATCTTTGTATTTCAGGCTTTAAAGTTAGATTTGGAGTTTGCCGATTCAACCAAGCCAATTAAACCACAATCTGGTGCAGCCAATTGGGAGAAAACCAGTGTATTGTCTCTCCGATGTGGTATTATCGCAGGTGCTGTTGTTCTAACAAGCATTGGCGTATTGATCTACCTAAAGCGTTCCAAAAAGTGATATGTTTGCCAGTTTGAAAACAAAACATGCAATAATCATACTGTATAAATTCCAGAGCTTTATCGTAAATTAAATACTCGTTGCATCAAAGAAAATGTTGGACATAGGCGAGTGGCGTGAAGGTTCTATAATCGCCAGTCCTTTTTCTTTCCCCCTTTTGGTCTCTGATGTAATGGCAACTAGTGACCTCTTCTTAAAAATGAATATGTTTAAAGATAAAGTGGTGGCATAAAATAATCAAATGTCACGATATTTTTGTTACTTGGAAGGTACTTGCAATTCCCGAAAAATATCAACTTCCAGCGCAGTGAAAATTATGTTGAGATGTTTTAAATGCAATTTTTTAGATTATCTTAAACAAATAAATCTGCAGTAAGATATCTTTATTGTTTTTAAATTCATTTATTGAATTTCCTTTCTTCTTTTTTTGTTTTTGGTTTATTTTCATCTTTCAATCCGGATCCTCTATAGTTTTTAGAGATTTTACCACAACCCATATTTTGCTGTGTAATAAAATAAGAGATAAGATATTATTACTATCAATTAGTGTTACTATTAATATCATTATCAATTTGTTTCACCGTTAGATTGATTATATTGATTTAATGGTTATATTTATTTTCATATTTGTATGGTTATGATTCCTCATATTTAATGTGAAAGTATTAAATATAGAGAATCATAATTATACAAAAGTGAAAATAAATATAAAGTATTAAATATAAGGAGAAGAAAACAGATTTTTAAAAAGTCAAATCAGAACCGTTAGATCAACATAATCGATCTAATGGTGAAACAAACTGGTAGTAACAATGATAGTAATACTAATTGGTAGTAACAATATTCTATCTCGTAAAATAAAAGTTGTAACTTGTAAATATAATTCATTGAATATCAATAAATTAAGAATAAATACCTTTTTTGGTCCTCAGCAAATTTCACGATGTCCGCTTTAGTCCCTAGTAAATAAAAAGGCTATTCGTGGTCCCTAAAAAATTCAAAATGAACTCATTTAGTTAAAATCGTGGTCCCTCACAAATTCAAAAAAGACTCATATTAGTTCCTCAAAAAGGACTAAAATGGGTCCACTTTAAATTTCTTAGGGACCACGAATAACCTTTTTATTTGCTAGGGACTAAAGCGGATATCGTAAAATTTGCATAGGACCAAAAGATATTTACTCATAAATTAATCAACAACTGCACATTATGTAGTTTAAAACAAGGGAAATATAGCTATCATGTTATACGAGAAATTTTCTTCCCCTGCAATGAATTAATATAATGACCCTCACATTTATTATGGATTTGATATTGAAGGATAATTATAAAGAAAAAAAAAATAAAGTCACCTTTGGTGAAAAATGAGTTAAAATGACAGTTAAGGGGTAAAAATACGGGTAAATAAAGTTATCCAAAATGTGAAAGTAAAAATAAGAACGTGACTAGAAAAATATTCTAGTCCATTGGGTAAAGTTTGGTAATGAATGAAGGTGCGTAGATTAGATAAGATTTTACCCGATCAAAGTAACTTAAATTTTTTAGTTTAGAAACACAATCAGTGCTTCATTTCTTCTCTCCGCGTGCGTTTCCTTTTCTTCCTTCTCTGTGTGACGAACCCGCGGCTATTGGAAGGAAGCTTGAATTTGTAACTTCCTCATTTCTTGATGAAATCAAGTGAGGTAAAAAGCAAAGTTGCTTAGAATTGGGAGACAAACACAACCCCTAATCCATAATCTATCAAAAAGCCTTGTATTGAGAGAAAAATAGAAGGAAAAGTGGCGCCCCTTTGTTGATTGAAGGTCCAAGGAGGTGTTTTGATCTCATTTGAGGTTGAAAATCCACTAATTGGGTGATTCTAGGTAAGTCTATGTTAAGAAATCCTAGTTTCCTTTGAGTTTTGAGAAAGATTGATTTAGGTTTTCATTTTTAAAGTTTGGCTTGATTGATCATGTTAGAGCTTGATTGAGGCTTGATTCATGTTGAGAAAAGTGTTCAGATAAAAATTTTAATGGTGAAAATGTATTTGGAAAATTTGAGATATCGTATTTTTGAATAGTGACATATATGAATAGTACCGTATACGTGAATAGTGCCATACACATGAATAGTACTGTAGAGATTAACAGTACCGTATGTATGAATAGTTAAGAAATATTTGATAAGTAAAAGATGAAATCAATAAATGGTGTGTCTGGTTAACTACTTGGCTTTGAACCATTTTATTGATATTTGTATGGATTCCCTATTCTAGGTGCGCCTAAGAGTCTTGTTGAGGATCCTACATCAGAGGAGGCTTGGTAACTCGGTTGTTAGGTAGGCCATATATACAGCTTTGAGAGATAAGCTCTATGTTTATGGGGTTCACTCCTACTTTGTGTTCCGCCATAGTGTACGGACTGTGGTCAGGTTGTATGATATGTATGAGATATATGATATAGATGCATTCATATAGAGCTATACGATAATATGATATGTTTTTTTTTATGGGTTTACTTTGATATGTGTTAATATGATATGTTTTGTTGAGTTCCGCTTTGGGTCCACCCTTGAGAACACGTACACTGATTCCCACTTGGGGTCCTCCCCTGGGATTGACTATGTACACATTTGTTATATGACTTGTTCTGATATGATTTCTGTATTGATCTTTGGCTGGGATTGACTTGTATGGTACACTGATGTCTTCTTGGGTTCCTCTGAGATTGACGGTGCACGCCTCTAATATGTTCTAGTTCCGCTTGGGAGTCCTCCCTTGGGAACACGTGCGTTGATTTCCGCTTGGGGTCCTCCCTTGGGAACGACTGTGTACGCCTCTAATATGTTCTGGTTCCGGTTGGGGTCCTCCTTTGGGAACACGTGCGTTGATTTCCGCTTGGGGTCCTCCCTTGGGAATGACTACGTACGCCTCTGATATGTTCTGGTTCCGCTTGGGGTCCTCCCTTGGGAACACGTGCGTTGATTTTCGCTTGGGATCCTCCCTTGGGAATGACTGCGTACGCCTCTGATATGTTCTGGTTCCGCTTGGGGTCCTCCCTTGGGAACACGTGCGTTGATTTTCGCTTGGGGTCCTCCCTTGGGAATGACTGCGTACGCCTCTGATAAGATTTTTATATATGTTTTGCTCAATGAAGATATGTTTTGGTTGGGGTCATCCCTAGGGATTGACAGTGTACATATCTGATAAGTTGTTGTTTCCGCTTGGGGTACTCTCTTGGGGAACACGTACGTTGATTTTCGCTTGGGGTCATCCCTTGAGAATAACTGCGTACGTCTCTGATAAGATATGTGTATATGTTTTGTTTAGTTATGATATTTGATTATATGACATGTTTTATGTGATATGTATGATGATTTTGTAAATGATATTTGTTACATACGTTGATTTCCGCTTGGGGTCATCCCTTGGGAACAATTGCGTACGTCTCTGATATAACATGTTTTGTTCTGATGTAAGTATTGTGATGATGTTGTAAATGATATTTGTTACGTGCGTTGATTTCCGCTTGGCGTCATCCCTTGGGAATGACTCTGTATGTCTTTGATAAGATATGTATATATGCTTTGTTCAGTTATGATAATTGCTTATATGATGTTTTGTATATTATGTATCTGACTGTCATGCAGGAAGTGAGCCCAGGGTATGGAGAGTTTTCCATAAACCTGAAGTTTACTAGATATTTGTCTCTAACCCCATTTGGAGATATGATTTCAGGAACACAGTTAATTGAAGAGCCTCATGGGACAAGGACACTAACCGTGGCTAGAGGTACTAGTATGAGGATGTGGTGTTCTGGGTGGCTGGAGGCTACTATTTATTTTAGACGTATTTTTGGAAAAGATGTATTGTTGTATAGTGTTCATATTCGATGCATGTACATTTGTGTATTCAGGCATGTTGATATGACTATGTAGTATTCAGTTATGTTATGTATTGGATTGCATGCTATTAGATTAGTGGCACGGAGCCAAGTTCTGCATGCGCCCATGGATGGGTATCTGAGTATATTTGCATGACTGGTACTTCTGGATATATATATTCTTTAAACTGTCTATCAGGAACTCTTGAGAGTGGGATTGGAAGATCCCCAGTTGTCTGATTTACAGAGGTTACTCTGTCCGATTTTCGTCTACGCCTAAGGAGAATTAAAAGGGAAAAAGAAAAAGTTAGCTCGTATTTTCGTAAGTTTAAGTCTTCCGTTGTTTCTGTTAAGTATCATATGTATGTTAATTGAACCGGCTCGAGGTTGGGGATGTTACATCTATGGTATCAGAGCAGTTGCTCTAGGGAGTTTGCATGATATATAGCGTAGGATGTTTGAAGTTCGAAGTTCTTGAGTGTTTTCTTGGAGTGCTGTATAATGCATGTGTGATCACTAAGTGTGAGCGTAGCTAACTCATTCCTTAGTGTAATATATGCAGAGATATGGTTTCTCCAAGGAGGACTCGTAGGACATTTAATAATGATGATCCATCACCGGATCCTGTTGTAGCAATTTTGGCTGCACTACTGAAGACTTGGGCTGCAACTAGACAGCAAGAGTTTGGGATTAATAATGAAACATTCAATTTGACTGTGATAAGGATAAGATTCCCTATGCGTATTATTACGACTGTTGGGAATGTTAGTGAGGAATCATTCAAATGGAAGGATGTGAAGTTTAAGTATGATGACAGGGAGTATTTTGCTGACTTTATTGTCTTGCATTTTGCCTCTGTGAATGTGATTTTGGGAATGTATTGGTTGTCTAAGTACTGTGTAAGGATTGATTGTTGCAGCAAGAAGTACTGTGTAAGGATTAATTGTTGCAGCAAGACCATTTCTATTTCCTCTAACGATGAAGGGAGAGAGTCTCCGGATATGTCTGTCTTTCGGGTTGCAAATGCCTTGAAGGAAGGAGATTCATAGTTTATTCTGTTGGGAGGTCTGGTTGGCGTCAATACGGAGCCAATTTCTGATATCCCTATTGTCTTTGATTTTATGGATGTCTTTCTAGATGAAATTTCGAATTTTTTGCCAGAGAGGAAAATTGATTTTTCAATTGAATAGTTGACGGGAGTAAGGCCTATGTCTCTAGCTTTATACCGAATGTCACCTCTGGAATTATTTGAATTAAAGAAGCAGAGTGAAAACTTGTCCAGTAAGAATTTTATTAGACCGAGTGTGTCTCCGTGGAGAGTCCCGGTGATCTTTGTTAAGAAGAAGGACGAGTCTAAGATTGTGTACAGATTACCGGCTGTTGAACAAGGTTACTGTCAAGAATAAGTATCCTTTGTCGTGTATAGATGATTTGTTGTATCAGTTGCGTGGTGCGACTGTATTTTCTAAAATTGATCTTCGGTCTGGGTATCATCAGATCCGGATAAAGCTGGATGATGTTCCAAAGACAGATTTCAGGTTCCGATATGGATACTATAAGTATCTGGTTATTCCTTTTAGGCTTATAAATGCAAAGGCCGTTTTCATAAGTTATATGAATCAGATCTTTAAAGCTTATCTGAATCAGTTTGTGGTTGTCTTTATTGATGACATACTAATATATCCAAAGAGCAAAAAAGATCATTGTGAGCATTTGAGAGTTATTCTGCAGATTCTAAAAGAGCATCAGTTGTATGCTAAACCGTTAAAGTGTGATTTCTGGCTTTCTGAGATACAATTTATGGGCCATGTCATTGCATCTGAAGGAGTGGCAGTGGACCCGAGTAAGATTGAAGCAGTCTTAGATTGGGAGTGTCCTAGAAAAATATTACAGAAATCAGAAGTTTTCTTGGTTTGGCTGGGTATTACAAGCGTTTTATTGAGGGATTCTCACGGATGGTACTACCTTTGACATGGTTAACCCATAAAGGGAACCTATTTGTGTGGACTCAAGAATGTGAAGTGAGTTGTCAGGAATTAAAAAAGAAGAAGTTAAGTAACACTCCGGTATTAATTTTGCCTGATCCTGCAGGTAAATTTGAAATATACTGTGATGTTTCTAAGTTTGGATTAGGCTGTGTATTGATGCAGCAACGTCACATGGTTGATTATGTTTCTCGGCAGTTAAAGCTGCATGAAGAGAATTATCCAACACATGATCTTGAGTGGGCGGGCGTAGTGTTCGCATGGAGAATCTGGCGACACTTTCTATACGGTGCCGATTTTGTTGTCTACAATGACCACAAAAGTTTAAAGTGTTTGTTTGATCAGAAAGAGTTAAATGTGAGGCAAAGCCGATGGGTTAAATTTCTGAAATATTATGATTTTGAATTGTAATATCACCCCAGGTAAAGACAATGGGGTAGCCGATGCCTTAAGAAAGAAGGCGGTCTGTATGGCTAATTTGATGATTTCTGAATATGATTTAATTGAGAAGTTTAGGGATCTCAACATCCCTATGATTACAGAGGATAGCCCGTATTTGTTGACTAATACGGTAGTCCAGAACTCATTAGTTGAGCGACTTAAAGAGGCTCAGCTACTGGATAAAGAGATTCAGTCTATTAAAGAACATGATTTTGTATCCACTGATAAGTTCGGTCTTACGTTTTATAAAGATCGGATCATTGTTCTGAAATGTCAGATAGTGGATGAGGTGTTAACTGAGGCCCATACGGGTAAGTACATTATCCATCCTATTGCTACCAAGATGTATCAGGCCATGAAACCAAATTTCTGGTGGTCTGGTATGAAGAAAGATATTGCTCAGTTTATGAATAAGTGTTTGATATGTTGTATATGTGCATTCATTCACATTCATATAAATATTATATGATTTTTGATGTTATGATGATGTATGTTATGAGAATCCTGACCAGTGATCTTGGTATGTTGACTGCCTATGGCTTTGACTCTGGGAGTTATTTTCATACTACAGTTTGTGTTGACTGCCTATGGCTTTGACTCTGGGAGTCACACTAGGCATGTGAGACATGTCAATTAGCTATTCTTGGGGAGAGTCCTTGAATAATTAACCAAAGTATTAGTTATGATGTTATGTTTTGCATTTGGTATGTATCAAGGAGATTCCTTGTGTAATTCATAAAGCGCAGTTTCTCTGGTCAGTAGAATTTGTAAATTGTATTATTAGTGTAAGGACAGATGTACAATAAAATTGTAAATTGTATTATCAGTGCAATGACTGATGTACAATAAATTATGAATTATATTATCAGTAGAAAGACTGATACATTGATGTTTCAGTGGAATTATATTTTTAGTAAGAAGATGAATGTAATAAGTAAGTCCATTATATGCTAAACAAGTCATGTTTAGACCAAAAATGATAAGTTTAGAAGCTTTAGGATTTTGCATGCAAACAGTGCACAATTAGTAATTCACAGTACATTTCATTAAAAAACGGTGCAGAAACCCAACTGTGAATTGTTAATACTGTTCCTTAGGGAATAAAAGTGAATTTAAATGAGCTCAGAGAAATAAAATGACGAATATAAGTTTGAGAATGAGAAGCCCTATGGATTACTGCAGCCCTTGAATATTCCGGAATGGAAGTGGGTTAGTATTTCTCTGGATTTTGTAGTAGCATTGCCGAGAACTCAGGCTAGTTTTGATTTTATATGAGTTGTGGTAGACAGATTGACTAAGTCTGCACATTTCATTCCAGTCAAGATGAGTTTCTCTATTTAGCAGTTGGCTCGATTATAGGTGAAAGAGATTGTGAAACTTCATGGTGTTCAAAAAAGCATCATTAGTGATCGGGACCCTAAGTTCACTTCTCGATTTTGGGGAGTATTGTAGCAAGCATTTGGTACGCAACTAAGACTGAGTACGACTTATCATCCCCAGATTGATGGTCAGACAAATAGGATCATTCAGACTTTGGAGGACAAGTTGAGGGCTTGTGCATTAGAGCAGGACGATAATGAGGTAAAGTAAGATTTGAAGTTTGTTGTGGGACCACTGAAAGTTCCGGTTCGCGATGAGAAAGTATTGATGAACATGGTTATTCTTATGGTTAAGCTATAATGGGAAAGTTTGACTTCTGAGGACGCTACTTGAGAGCGAGAGAATGATATTCTCCTGCGTTATCCTGAGTTTGACGTCAGGTATATGTTATGTTATGTGTGATTTTGGGGGCAAAATTCTTAAAAAGTGGGATGAATATAATGACCATCACATTTATTATGGATTTGATATTGAAGAATAATTATAAAGAAAAAGAAATAAAGTCACCTTTGGTGAAAAATGAGTTGAAATGACAGTTAAGGGGTAAAAATACGGGTAAATAAAGTTATCTAAAATGTGAAAGTAAAAATAGGAACGTGACTAGAAAAATATTCTAGTCCATTGGGTAAAGTTTGGTAATGAATGGAGGTGCGTAGATAGATAAGATTTTACCCAATCAAAGTAACTTAAATTTTTTAGTTTAGAAACAGAAACAGTGCTTCATTTCTTGGGCACGAGAGCCCACTGGGCTTGAAGGATGGATAACGCACAAGAATTCCATAAGACTTAATTATTTATTAATTAAATGGGAGGCGGTGAAGATCGAACCGAAGCTCTAATACCATGTAAAGAATTATTTCAACCCAAAAATTTATACTAATAGATGGGGTTACATTAATGATTATATATATAGAGAGAGAGAGAGAGGTAGGATCATTTGACACCAGTGTCAAATTTAAAATTTGACACCTCATCTGATAACCATTCGATCAAAAAAGATCAATGGTGTCACATGCTTACAAATCAAAGTCGTTGATCTTTTTTGATCTAATGCTATCAAATGATGTGTCAAATTTCAAATTTGACACCGGTGTCAAAGGATCCTACCTCATATATATATATATATATATATATATATATATATATATATATATATATAACAAAACAACCACACTTGGCTCAATTCTCGAGGATGAGAATCTTCTAGAACGGAGGGGCAATGTTGTGTGCCAAACCACAGGGAGCCGAACTCGCCTTGATGAACATGTTGCACCTCAGCCCAAGAGGAAGACCAAACCACCAAAGAATTGGCTGATTTTGTGAAGCAGTAACTGAAGAGAAGAAGCCCAGAATTCAAATATCAAATTGCAAGATTTACTTCCAAAATTGATCCGTTGATTGATTTCCATTATGTTGATTTATTTCCGGAATTACTTTGTTGATTGATTTCCATTACGTTATTAACCGTAGCTCATATAAACATTACATTGCTAAATGAAAGGAGGGGACTATTTTCCATATTCACTTTTTTCTTCCTTTCATCTCTCCCTACTGTTATCCCTCTTCACTCTCTATCTCTCCCCTTTCCCTTACTATTACATCTAGTCTGCGGCAAAGTTTGCCTCTAATAAGTATGGGAGATTCTAATAACCCACTCTCTCTAAATCGATTCCCTTATTGTCATGACTAAAGGCTTATGGTGCTGCTGACAACCCTGGTGCACTAGAGGGATGGCAGCTATTTTAATCCCATGATGAAGACTCCCAAATTAAGAACATTGCTCGCTTCTCCCACATGCAAAACATAGCGATCTACCCTTCAAACAATCTCGTGATCAAATGATGTTTTGCTTGAAAAGATATAGCTATTGCATTCCTGCCAAAGGGTCCAACACATCACCCCGAAATATAGATGACAATTGGAAGTTCTAACGATTCCAATGAACTTTATAAGGTTGAGAGAGATCCAATCCTTCAAGGAAATGAAAAAGAAATTGTTCCAGACATTATGATCCACCACCTGCATCCAAAATTAGCCTCACCTAAATGCAATCCCTTATAACGTTGGTGCTGTCTTTCTCTAGTCATGTTACATCTTTCAGAAGTATCAGTACCACTCATGGACGTTGCATGCGATTAGCATTGGTAAGAAGGCTGTCATTGGCAAAAAATATTTCATGGAAATAATGCTGTCTTCTCTTCTAAATGTAGTGATGTTTAAAATCTTTCATAAGTTTAGTGAAAAAATCTTCAGAGAACTAATGCAATAACAGAATCAATTTAAAAGTTAACTCTAATAATTTTGAAGCACAAATGAATAAAAATTCATTCTTTACCACTTAAAATCAAATAGTTGATAGTTAAATACAAAATTAATATGTATCACAAATTGTAGTCACTGGCAACGGAAGAGTTTTTGTCAACATATCACCTTCATTAGCAAACACGGTTATGCGAATGACATGTACACAACATCATAGACAACAGCAAACCTACCCTTGCCTCCAAACCATGAGGGGAAAAAAAGAAGAAAAAAAAAAGAGCTTTCACAAGCTAATCAAGAATGAACAAGGTAGGAGTCCAACCTCGGTGCTATATGAACTAGAAACTTGTTAACCACGTGACATCGGGAGCTGGCTAGTGGTTTCTACAAATACTTTCGTGCAAGTGCCCGAACTTTTGTGTCAAAATGTGATGATGTGATCCGGGAGCCAGGCAAGTACAGAGGATTAAGAAGAGTCTGCAATTTCCCAAACAAACAAGTTACTTGTCTCTTACCGGTTTAATTTTTCATAATCCATAAAATCGAGTACGTTTACAAACCGTTTAACATAAGTATCTGCATATTTAGCAACTAAATCAAGAGGACAATTAGCAATTTCAACTTTAACTGATAGGAGGGTTGCCAATCATATCCTAACACAACAACAAAAAAATAGCTGAAAACCCAACTACTGAACAGTAATCATTGGGAACTTGTTTTGCATTCTGCATATTCACAAGGAAGAACTGTGTACTCCAAAACAGTTAGTGGAATTCGACAAACTTCTATTACAAATTTAAAATACAGTTTTTGTCATTCATTCTAGTTCAAAATAAATAATATACCGGGTATGTACGAGACAATTATGCATGCCTATTATAATGAAATATTAAAATGCTAATTAGGTTGAAAATGTAGAATATGGCTAATTCAACATTACAAAACAGTCAGCATGAAATTCAGCAAACCTCTACTAACAATTTTCCTACTTTGTTATTCTAGTTCAAAATAACGTTCCAGGTATGTACTAGGCAATTGGGCATCATACGAAATATTGAAATGCTAATTAAGGGTGGGGATGTGTTGTGTGTGTGTGTGTTGTTTGGGGGGGGGGGGGGGAGCAATGCCTAATTCAACATCGAACAAACCAGAAAAACATTCCAACACCTATTGATACTGTATAGGCAGCCAAGCATGCTTTAAGAACTGCTAGACATGAACTTATTTATAATCCCATTTCAAGAGAAGTATTCTATTGTAGAATACGAAAAGGCTATGTATAAAATTAACAAATACAGTAAGGAGAGGCTACATATGAAACATGTTATAGAGTGCAAGAAAAAGAATATTACCTTTATGTAAAGCTCATGCACCTCTTGGAAGAAGCTCTTAATGCCATCATCATTACGAGAGTCATGGAGCAACATGAATCGGGTATGTATGATAAGTCAAGGAAAATATCACAAAAACCAAAACATATAAAGGGATATGTGCATGTAAGATTTAAGAGTACTCTGCTCTTGGCTCTTTCATTTTGTTCCCCTGCCAGGGAAAGGGAGTTAAGAGCTGGGACAATGGCATAATCATATAATTAAAGAAGGAAATTGAATTGAATGGTCCTTAAAGTTGGGTAGGAATATACTTTCATTATTTGAACAAGAGAAGATTGAACCAAAAAAAAAATACGAACAAAACAAGAAAGAGCAATATAATTTTTTATCTCAATTATAAAATAATTCTCAAATATAAAGGATATGACCAGCTGTGACATACACCGACACCATCAGTTCATTAAACCTGTCTACTGATTTCAGGTACCTGCATTGATAACGTTAAGGCTTAAGATACAGAGAAAAAGAACATAACAAATAGAACAAGAAGCACAAAAAGATGATCATAAGGCCAAAGTTTCATATTTGAAATTGGATCATGTATCAACCAAAAATTTAACTCACATAGCACTAGTAGTCCACGCAAGGTCCTGAACAATATCGAGAGCAGCATGCAGGATAAATTGATGCAGCTGAGCAGCATCCTCCCTCTGTCACAGAATAACATGAGATTGCAGAACAACATGAATTTAATGAAGAAAAAACAATCCCTTGTTAAAAAAAGCCACACAAAACAAGGTGATGCAAGAGATTCAAATAAGCATTCACATTAATCAGGTGAACAAATTATAATATAAATTGAATTCCCCGTAATATTTTTCAGACACTAATTAGTCTCTAAAACCACATAACTTAATTGATGCATGAGTGGCCAATCCAAAACCAATATCTAACCATAAATCAATAAAAGCCTGAACTATACAAAAATGAACAAAAATTAAAGAAAGTTAAGAATAATACTTTAGCAGCTACTCCAACTTCAGCTTCATATATAGGAATATCATTTCTGCTAACAATAATGAAACAAGCTGTGGTCGCCATTATAATGACCTTGCCAGAACTGCAACACAAAAGACAAGGGAAGATATTGAGGTATTATCATTATAAGCATTATAACAATCGAAATCACAAAGAAAATTGAAAAATGACGAAGAGATCTAAACTCAAATGGAACAAAAATGGAAATCATACCCTCTAATGACAGTTGGAGGCGATCAAGGAATAAGAAATCATACCTGTCGCCCAATACTGTCAATATCCTTCGATTTCGCGAGTTGCCAAAGAAAAATGTGCAGCAATTGCGATTTTGTGTTGTATAGTTGAATACAGTGAAACAATCCTTTTCAAAAGTATGCTTGATTGGATTTACAACGTATGACTACTGGAGAATTGAACTCTCTGCAAAACCTAACAGTAATCGAGGAAGAAGACACGATGTAAAGTTTTTATATACCAACTGTACTTGCCGTTTCATTTCTCTTCTTTAGGATATATCATATTTATTTTTTGAAAAAATATTTGTACTTAGAAAAAAATATATTTTATAATTTTATTTAAATTTAAAAATTTAAAAATAAAATCACTTATTTTTTTCTCCCATAATTTTCATTACTCATGTTTTCCTTTCATTTAGAATAACATAATTCTATGTAATTTAAAAGAATAAATACTGAAACTTTATTTTTTTTAAGTTATGTTTATGACTTTTTTTCACTATAATCTTCTGTCATCACGATGTTGGATCAAAATTAAATTAATGATTCATGTTTAATGTCATTTTATTACTGTTAATTTAATTATTATTATTTTATAGATATTGATTTGATCCAATAACCATAAAATTAATTATAAGAGATTATGAGAGAAAACAAATTGTAGGTGTAATTTTTTTGTTTGTTTAGTATTTATAATATTATAGAAGATAAATTTATTTCTGGTACAGATAAAAATATGTGAGATTGATGTAGTTCTATGTAAGTTAATGCATCTATAAGAGATAAATTTATTTATTAAAAAGAATTATATAAATTATGTGAGATTGATGTAGTTCTATGTAATTTAATGCATATATAAGAGATAAGAAATGAAGATATTCGACGAAAGGTAGGAATACTACCCATTGTTGTTAAAATCTCGATTTATCACTAGGATTTTATGTTTTTACAATTTTTTTCATCAAAACGATTTTAGTAATACTCCAAACGCTTTTACGTTTTTACGATTTTTTATGATTTTTTTACATTACGATTTTACGTTTTACGATTTTTTAATTCCCTTCCGATTTTACTTAAGATCTCGATTTTAACAACATTGGTACTGCCGGTGGCTGAGAAGATGAGAGAACATAGATTGAGGTGGTTTGGGCACGTAATGAGAAGGCCCCTGGATGCTCCCGTAAGAACAGAAGTTTGTTACCAAGAGCTCAACACAATAAGAGGTAGAGGTAGACTGAAACTTACTTGGGGGAAGGTAGTAAAACAAGATTTAATGGAGTGGGATATAGATTGGCGGACGGTATGTCTTAGAACGGAATGGAGAAAAGCTATAAGCATGGTGGAGGGTTAGACCCGTTGTTATTCCTATGTTCCAGATGGTCCCTTTTTAGTCATTTTCCCCTTCATTTCCTCCTCTTCTTCTTTTCCCTTTCATTTTTACTTTTATTTATATATATATATATATTATTACTATTCTATTTATTTCTTTTTATTTTTACTTTTATGTTTCTTTTTTTAACCTTTTTGTATCTTTCATTTGGGTTCATCTACCACCGACCTCAATTAATTTGGGATAAAAGTTAAAGGTGTTGTTGATGTAGATGTCTCTCTCTTCCACCAACGATCAATTGAGGGTGGGGTGCACGTGGTGACGTGAGTAATGAAGATATGTTCTCAATTCAGCTTGCCCAACCTTTTAGTCCTTTCACAATCCTCACAAGGCAGCAACAAACGTTTTTGCCATCACTATTTCACTATTTCCCTTCATTTAATTTTCTCTCAAACCACAGATACCATTATGAAATTTTTCGATCTTGGGGAGTTTTAAATGGAAATGGGAGGTGGGTGTTGCACGTACTATATAATTGTCAGTAATATTGAATGGTTGTGGCTTAATTCGCAGGCACATGTATATGTGAAATTATATTTACAAACTTTTTATCTATATAGCACCGATACTGACACAGGACACGATACGACACGACACGACACTCCAATACGTTAATTTTAAAAAATGTTAGATTTCGATACGTTAGACATGTTTTGATATTGAATAATATTTTTAATTTATGTTGCATATATTATATTTAATAATTAATAATTTAATAAAAAAATAATGCTAAAATTATAATACTTATTAATTTTGTAAAGATACATAAGATATCACAAATATTTATATTAAATTCAATAAAATAGTAATAGTAATCCAATGAATCTAATAGTTAGAACTAAAAATGCAATGCAACGCAACCTTTGAACCTTTTTTTGAGTTTCTACAACGCGCGTTGAAGTGTCGGGAAGTGTCGGAGTGTCGGAGAGTGTCAGGAAGTAGGGGTGTTAACGAGCCGAGCCGAGCCGAGCTTTGGTCTTAAAAGGCTAAGCCTGTGTTTAAATGTGTCAGCCTTACCAAGCCTGTTACCTGTTACGAATATAATTATCGGCCTGTGGCCTGCCTTATTTACAAAAAATAAAAGCCTGATTTAGCCTGTTAGCAAAAAATAAGACAACAAAAATTTATCCAAACATAATATACAATCAACAACACCAGTAATTCCATAAACATTCATAAATTCAATGTGTATCCAAACAGCATAATATAGAACAAAATCATTCAAAAAGTCTGTTTAACTAATAAAATAGTGGTGAAATAGATTGAGAGCAGAGAGAGGGCTATTACAAATATTATAAAAAATATAAATTAAATTAAAATTAATATACTAGGCCAGCCTGAGAGGCTCCAAGGCCGAGCTTTTGAATTGGAGTATGAGGCCTTTTTACTATACGGTTTTTATACAAGTCCAAGCCTGGTTCCAACAACCAATATTAGGCATGTAAGCTCAGGCCTTCACGAGCCGAGCCAAAGGCACCTAAAAGGCTACTGGCTCGTTTATCACCCCTATCAGGAAGTGTCGGACACGACACGTCGAAGTTTTAGAAGTGTCGGTGCTTCCTAGCTTTTTATTTATAAATTTTTATAAACTAATATTTTATCGATAAGATATTTTTGAGTGAAATCATACCGGTAATTAAGACATAATATAATTATTAAGTTTATAAAAAAAAATTTGTCGATATAATCTTTCTCAATATATATATATATGAGTTAGGATCCTTTGACACCAGTGTCAAATTTTAAATTGACACTTCATCTGAGAGCTGTTAGATCAAAAAAGATCAATGATGTCACATGCTTACAAATTAGAGTCGTTGATCTTTTTTTATCTAACGGCTCTCTAATGAGGTGTCAATTTTGAAATTTGACACTGGTGTCAAAGGATCCTACCTCATATATATATATATATATATATATAGGTAAAGTAATTTCTGCAGCCTCTTTACGTACAACAACGACAGGTGTATGGTTATGATTCCCCACATTCAATGCTTTGTATGGTTATGATTCCCCGCATTTAATGCTTTCAAATATATATATATATATATATATATATATATATATATATATATATATGGTAATTATTTGATTGCTGCACATACAGCAGCTGCAGAAATGTAAATCCCATATATATAGGGTTTGATGTTTGTTCCTTTAAATGATATAAGTTATGTCATTTTATTTTATTTTGTAAATAAAGAGGGGCTAAGCCCCAGAAACAGAAAGAAATTACAAATCAGAAACTAACAAGCTAGACATATTTCTAGCATCAGCAACTATAAGTTCCATCAACTGAGGAGGAGGGTCTTTAAAAATCTTGAAATGGAGATTATTAGTCTGCCCAGCTTTAGCTAACCAATGAGCACATTTGTTGTTTTCTCTCTTGGTATGAACAAGATGAATAGTCCAATCTGCTTTTAACAATAATCTCAATCTGCTAGTGACTTGAGAGTCCCTAGGATCTTCATGCTGCTCCTTTAACATCTGGATGGCTTGGCTAGAATCACATTCTAGCTCTATTTTTTTTAATCCTGTTCCCCAAAGCAGTTCCAAACCTTTCAGTAATCCCCATAATTCTGCATCAAGAGGATTGCAGGAACCTAAATTACAATAGAAGCTTCCCAAAAAGGATCCATTGTGATCTCTTAATATACCACCACAACTAGCTTTTTTCATGCCACTAGAAGAAGCTCCATCACAATTCAACTTAACCCACCCTTGCTTGGGGGCTATCCAAACGCTATCGTTAGAATCACCACGACGCTGATAAATTCGGGCTTGCAGAATCTGTTGGACAAACATCCAAATTGAAGCCTGTGATTGCTCATCATGACAGAAATGATCTTCATGGATCTCCAAATTTCTCCACTTCCACAAAAACCAACAAGTAGTAAAGAAAATATCCCTCCAGTCCTTCACTTTATTGGAGGACCACATGTTATCGATATTTAAAGTCAACCAATCCTGCAAATTCGAATTCATAAAGGAATTGGGTATCGAACCTGTAAACCAAGATTGCCAAATTTTCCTAGCATGTCTACAATCACGAAGAACATGAATAATAGTTTCCTCATGATTTGGACAACTGGGACAGACATTTGAACCTCCGTTCCACTTACTGGTTCTGCTGCGCACTGAAAGTTTAGCAAGCAAAGTCATCCACATAAACACTTTCACTCGTTCTGGTCCATTCCACGACCAAACTTTTTTCCATAAGCTAGTGTGAACATCTGCTGGGAAGTTCATAAGATTACAGTAAGCGACCTTAACCAAAGAAGTTGAGTGATGATTATTGATCCAAACTAATCTATCCTCCCCATTCCTTGGAATAAGCCTGAGATGATTTGTTACTGCATCAGCCAAATCTGACTCCAGAAATTGATGAACAACTTCAAGACGGAAACCATCATCCACCATGTAATCTGCAATTGATTTCTGACTCTCCTCCCACGGCACCTGATTGCTCGACAACTGCTGCAAATTTTCCTCCCATCCCAACCAGTTATCAGTCCAAAGCTTTACTTCAGAACCATCTGCTATTTCCCATCTAAGACCAGCAAGGAAATTACTCCAACATTTAGCAAGATCACGCCAAAGTTTAGAGTCATATGATTTTTCCTTTATACCTCTCCTTAAGTCTTGACCTCTACCATACTTGGCTACTAAAATCTTAACCCATAAATCATCTTTCTTAGTTAACACCTTCCACGCCAGTTTATGAATATAAGCTTCATTTTGGAGTCGAAGGTTAATTATTCCCAAACCATCTCTATCTTTGGGTTTATACATTTGATCCCAAGCTACTAAATGAGCCCGCCTTCTGCTATCCTGATCTCCCCAAATGA